TGCTCCTCCATCTCTCCGGTTCCTCTTCTCCCACCCCTCCCACGTTGTCTAGCCACTGTTTCTCAGCCTTCTCAACCACTTCCATTCCCCCGCTTCGTTCTGACATCTACTTCCTTGACGAGCACTCTCCCTCCCCTGAATCACCTTGACACACAACGTCGGGTTCTTGTTCAAGCCCAGTACCCGGCTTCTTTACTGTTAGGTTGAGGGACTTTTGAGCTTGAGGTATCTTCCTCTGAGTTATAGGAGACCACCCGTGAGCCTTTTCAGGTTTGCCAGCCCGTTGAGCTTTATACTAACTCGGTCGCAATCGAGTAGTCACGCTCCTCGTCGCGATGTTCTTCTCCCAGCTACCGACTCATCTCCAGCGCGCTACCGAGCTACAGCAGGAGCCCCCTAAAGGCAAACCTTACGGCGTTGCCCTACCGGGCACCGAAAAACCAGGGCGCTCTCCCGTCTACCGGACCTGGAACTCAACAAAAGAGCTAGTAAAAACACTAGACCCTAAAGTATGCTCGTTTGCGGACCCCAATGAGATGAGAACCACATTGGGATTGTTATTGACTGGCTTCGATTTTCCCAGGTGGCTACTGCGCATGACATATTTGAGTCGACCGCCGGTAGAGTGCCCAAAAGCGACTGCTTGGGATGGCGCCCATATGATCCGATAGTTAATGCCTACGGTCCGTACCAGTGGATGGATTATGAGACGGTTCAGAAGCGACGTACTGCTTTTGGTGCTGGTCTGGTCGAATTACATCAGAAACATGGCTGCCATCGCCCTGGCCAATATGGAATTGGTTTATGGTCCCAGAACCGCCCAGAGTGGCAACTGACTGGTATGAGGCACCCTGGCAAATATGGGCAGAGGAAACTTGCTAATTCCCGTGTCTATAGACCTTGCCTGCATGTCTCAAAGTCTGTACTCGGTCTCCATCTACGACGTTCTCGCGGCAGACGCTACGGAGTACATCATCAACCACGCCGAATTGCACTGTGTCGTGACTTCTTTGCCTCATATTCCCACTCTGCTGAAATTGAAGCCATTGTTGCCCGGTCTGAAAATCATTGTCAGCATGGATCCTCTGGAGGCCGGGGAACCCGCCGGCCTTTCTAAGCGCGCGCTCCTCGAATCGATTGCGGCTGGGCTGGAGGTATCTATCTACACCATCGAGGAGGTGGAAGAGCTTGGGGCGTTTTCAAAACGTACCTGCAATCCCCCATCCCCATCTGACATAGTTACCATAAATTATACGTCCGGCACTACAGGGAATCCCAAAGGGGTGGTCTTGACCCATGAGAATACTGTCGCGGCAACTTCAAGCGGCCTCGTAGTAACTACGCAGGCCCCTGGTGATACTCTGGCATCATATCTTCCACTAGCACATATTTACGCGCGGCTGTCGGAGCATGCAGCATTCTGGGCGGGGGCTCGAATTGGCTACTTCCATGGGAATATGCTGGAACTCGTCGATGACCTGAAAGTCCTCAAGCCTACTGGGTTCATGTCAGTTCCAAGACTGTTCAGTCGTTTCGGAAATGTCATTCGCTCAGCTACCGTGGACCAGCCCGGTTTCAAGGGAGCATTGTCGAGACATGTTGTTGCGGCGAAGACAGCAAACCTGGAGAATCCCGACGCTAGCAAAGCTACAATAAAGCATGCGGTGTATGATCGCATCTGGTCGAAAAAGGTTTCCGCGGCGCTTGGCCTGGAGCGCACTAGAGTGATGATCTCTGGTTCTGCGCCTCTGGACCCGACCCTCCACCAGTTTTTGAGAGTGGCTACTGGTACCGATATTATCCAAGGTTACGGGTTGACCGAAACATACGCTATTGCATGCGCTCAATCCCCACGAGATTTGACTGCCGGGAATTGTGGGCGACTTGCTCCATGCAACGAGGCCTGTTTGGTCTCTCTTCCGGATATGGACTACTCGGTCGATGATAAGCCCTTCCCACGGGGTGAACTGCTCTTACGCGGAGGGAACATCTTCCGTGAGTATTATAAAAACCCAGAAGAAACGGCCAATGCGATGACTGAAGACGGATGGTTCCGGACCGGTGACGTTTGCACCATTGATGATATGGGCCGAATTATCATCATTGATCGTCGCAAGAATGTCTTGAAGCTGGCGCAGGGAGAATACATCTCCCCCGAGCGTCTAGAGGGCGTTTACCTGTCTGAGCTGGGCTACTTGGCGCAGGGCTACGTCCATGGTGATAGTGTACAGACTTTCTTGGTGGGTATCTTTGGCGTGCAGCCCGAATCATATGCTCCGTGGGCCAGCAAAGTGCTCCGTCGAAACATTGAGGTCACGGACATTGACGGCATCAAATCGACGTTGGATGAACCTCAGATACGTCGCGCGGTGTTGCGGGATCTCGACAGAGTCGCAAAGAAACACAAACTTGCAGGCTACGAAAAAATAAAGAACTGCGCGCTGATGCTGGACCCTTTTACAGTTGAGAACAATCTGTTGACGCCGACGTGAGTGGAATCCCCTTCTCTTTACATGCTGCGCAAGTCTGACTAGATAACCAAACTCTTTAGTTTGAAGCTGAAACGTCCTCCGGCTGTGAAGAAGTATCGCCATCTGCTGGATGACTTATATACGACGGCGTTGGCTGAGGAAGCCGCTCCGAAGGCCAAGCTCTAGGAGATATTGACGTCGATAATATTTTTATGCGCTAAAACTCATGCTAGCCATTTAGACTGCTGGAGCTGCCTCGTACATATTTTCCCTGTGATTATTCAACCATTCATGTAGTTTATTTAGCACTTCAATGATCTTGGAATCCAAGGCTGAGCCTTTGAGCATGGTAAAAGGTTGGTATTTCACCCGGGGGATGGGGGGTTGTGGGGTTGAGGGGTTTCTGTGTGTGTTGGGGAGGGACAATAAGGTATTGTACGGCAGTTAAGTTACTGCTGCATACATTGAAAAGGGAGTCACTATCCTTACCACCAGAGATTTTAAGACTAGTATAGTGAAGTTAGCCTCATGATGAGTAAGGCATATCTAATCACAGCACATTTACATGAGCCCTCGGTGGTTGGCCCGAATGATTGCTTGGCGCTAGAGCTTCTCGATACGACATCATCTGCAACTCCCTACCTAGTTCGACCCCAACTCTTTCTCTAGTCAATCCAACCGATCAGTCCCTTGGAACCCTCAACCAGCGACTGCTGCCCACCATGCGTTCAGCCAGCAACTCCCTGGTGGGACTCGTTCTTATCCTGCTGTCTGCACCAATGCTGGTGTATTCAGCCCTCACGATCACCATTCCCTCATCCAGTCTGCTCCCCAATCCCCACGCTCTCCCCGCTGGAACTCATGCGACGTTGTCCACGCTTCCCTCCTCGCCCTCCTCGCCCTCGCAGCTGACTGCATCCCTCACTCGCTCCGCGACATTCGTCTTCGCCAATATCCCTGCCCAATCGAAGCCCCAATCCTACCTGCTCGACATCCGCTCCCCGGATTTCATCTTCGCCCCGTACCGCGTAGACATTGCCGCTGATGGAACCGTTCTCGGGATCTGGGAGACATTCCGCGCGAACCCTTGGGACAACCGAGGCTCGGAGAAGTACATCATAGATGCCACTACTGCTGTTGGGCAAGATGGAGCTGTCTCTGCCGCAACCACGCCCGACGTGACTGTCGAGGCCCGAGTCCTTGCCCGGAGAAATTTCTACGAGGAACGCCCCCGGTGTATGTTCTATCTGAATCGCGACACATTGGCATGGACCATAACAAATGGCTGATCGTTCGTCCCGTCCTAATCAATTAGTCTCGCCCTTGGCGCTGTTCAAGAATCCTATGATCCTACTAGCTTTGGTCGCTCTGGGCTTTACATTCGGCATGCCGAAGTTGATGGAAAACAGTGAGTTGCCTCTCTCTTCACCCGAAGCATTTTTCTCTTCTTTTAGGACATATTTAGTTTTTTTTTTTTTTGTTCCGTTCTGCCCTTATTAATGCTTCCGTGTACTCTTGTGCTCTAGTGGATCCCGAGATGCGTGCCGAATTCGAGAAACAATCTCGCTCCTCCCCGATTACGGGCGCCACACGCAGCGCCATGGCCGGCGGCGGAGCGCCCGGCACTTTCGACTTGGCGGGGTGGATGGCTGGAGCCACTCCCAGGCCCGCCCCTGGTGCTGACGGAGTTGCTGCGTCGGGCAGAGATAGTGGGAGTGCTTCTCGGAGGAGAGCATAGGTATGCAGGCCCTGCGGCATCAGAATGACGACGCAGCGCGGGAATTTGGATGCTGACCGACCTTCATTCTGGAGGTAGTGAGCGTATAACATTAGAGCGGGCTTACTAAAGTAAACCTTGTCTGTTTACAGATCCCCCTTCACCTCGCTTTATCTTGACTCAACGATGGCATGGACCAGCTACGCTTCACGAACCATTTTGCCTTGCGCCCGGGAAAGAAGCTCATTTAGAAGTAAGTATATTTCATCTGAGGCTTCAGTTATAGCGTCTGAATTTGATCCAAAATATGAACATGAATCAAGTCCGGCTATATTGTTATTGAGGGAAAACCTCACCGTCAGGAAGATATCGATATAACTTCAAAAAAAGACCACGGAACTCGCCTAGACGAGCAGACAGTTTGGGTTACTCCTCATTTAGGCTAGGAATGTGGATCGGAAACGTTGATTGCCCACATGGCACATCGAATTTGTTGTATGCTCTGGTCTGAAGTACAAGAGATTTCTACCCAAAGTATCCGCGAGGTGAGATTGTAGGCGAGCTGTGGATAATACATCGTACGTGCGGGCTAGTGACGGGAGGAGCGGCTGTCGTGCTGGACCACACAATCCTAAGACGCACGAGCGACAAACCGTATACATCATCATAACACATAAGCTATTCATAAGGGCATCTCGCGCAGCCAGGGAATAGATCTAAACCTGTTCGCACATAAGAAATCAAAATAGAGATGGGCTGAACATAAGAGCGATGCATTAGAAATCACCAAAGTCATCACCACCGCCAAAGTCACCCCCATAATCATCCCCATAATCACCTGGGGGAGGACCGTAATCGTGCGACATGTCTTCCACAGCATCAGCGAGCAGCATGCCACCTAGAAGTCCACCTCCGACACCTAAAGCTGCAGCCCCCGCGGTGCCCATCCCATGCCGTCGCTGCTGCGGCTGTTGTTGGGTTGGGTAAAAGCTACCCTGTGGTGGATATGATGGGTAACCATACCCTGTCTGTTGCGAGGCATAACCGGCGCCAACACCGCCTCCTCCGTAGTAGTACCCGCCTTGAGGGTAGCCATAAGACTGTTGCGGTACGGGTTGCTGCGGCCGAGGGAATGACGCGCCGCTATTACCAGCGACTTTTCCTTTTAACTTGCTGAAGAACCCTTTGCTGCGCTGCTGAGCCGGTCCAGGAGAAGAGTTCTGCGACTGGGGTTCCGATGACTGATATCCGGCAGTTTGTCTAGGAGAACCATCGGTGTAGTAGTCAGACGCAGCACCGCCAGAGCTCGCAGGGCTCCTGCGACGAGCTCGGGCATTCTCCTCTGCCTGTAGCTGCGCAGCAAGGCGAGCATCATCATCTAGATTATGGTGCGCAGATTCTGGTGGCTTGTATGGGTTCCTCGAATCAACAGTTTTCTTGTCACCTGCAGCAGCCAGTGACGAGGGTTCAGCAGGACCCGACGCATCGTAAGACGGTGGCGGCTCGCTCGGTGGTCCATGTATTTCTGGTTCTGTTCGATTCGGTCCTTCGGGACGTTCCCATTGTGATCGACCAGTTCGTAGGTTTACGAAGAACCTGAGGTCGCAGTCAGTCTTGCTCTATCCATTTTGCATTCGATGACTGGGTGATATGCATACCACTGATTATAGCGGTCATCAAACTGAGCCTTCCATCCTTCAGGGACGGAAGGAGTCGGAGGGCCGGGCGGCGGGGCAAACGACATGAATGATATAGATGGTATGACTAGTGAGCTTAGACTTATTTATGGTTTCAACAAGACAGTGTTGAATTTTCAAATGGAATCTTATCTGAAATTATACCAGACGGGGAAGTGATTCAAGCTTCTGGATGAACAGAGAACATAGGTGTTGTAGATGCATAGGAGGGGGTGCATCATATACAGCGAGCAGTAGTTGTTTCCGATGGGCATCGCCCCGTGGCGCTGCTCAGCCACGTGATGTCATTGTGGGGCGATGGAGATTGGTATCACATGCGGAGAAAAGTGTCCAGTAGTCGCTAATCATGCTGTTGACTGTGTACATCTGTATTTGTATACTAGACTACTTACTCATCTGTGAACAAGCAAGTTCAACCAGACCATTAACTGACTAGTCAAATCAATCAGGTCTAGATCCACTCATGACTAAGAGCTCAGGCCACTCTACCATCTGATGCATCGTTGAAAACTATTCATCAAAGACAAGGTCCAAATCTGGATCATGATTCCCTTGCTGCATAGTAAGACAGGATTGTAAGAGATATCTAAGGAGAAAACGTTTCCCTAAGTTCGCTGTCGGCTGTCATGATGGTCAGAACCCCTCCCGCCCTTCCCAAAAACAATACTGCTCGTCGTGATACAGCCAGCCTCTACTTCGAAATCCCACGACCCCTCTTCCGAATGGAAACCATAGCCTCGTACAAAACATCCTTAAAACCAAATAAGAATGCCGCAGTAATTGCACTCTGCGTCACTTTTGGCCCAATTCCTGTTTGGAATAATGTAAGCTGTCTTTCAAAAAGCACTTCGTCAATTGGGGTTCACTTGCCTTTGTATAGGCCAGCATAACCTTCTTCCTGAATTATTTTCTTCAAACTCCCATTCAAACTCTCCTGGGGCCCCTCTTTACTTGCAACATGCATGCGGCTCTTGACTGTGATGTAAGGATATGTGATCGAAGTAGCGAGTATCTTACCAAGGGCACCCAAATAGAACGCATCCTTGGGTGTCATCCGTCTACGACGCTCGACGATGATTTTCAATTGCTCAAAGATTGTATACTGCAAGATAGGGTTGACCACCAATACGAGAGCTGGCAGGACGCCAGCGAAGAGGGCCTTTGGGCCCTCTCGGCGCAGCAAGTCTATCAGTGTAGCGATTGTCGATGCTCGCTCCTTTCCAGGATAAGCACCAGGCAATGACTTCTGATCCGAATCAGACTTGCGAGCTGTCATTCTGGTGTTCACCACCCAAATCGGATTGGTGATCATGACTGTGGCGATCCCTGCAATAGCCCCGGCAACCATCGACTCAACGGTTGTGAGCTTTCTAGATGCCCTTCCTGCTTTTGCAGCTGCCTTTTCGAAGGCGGAGCGTGTCCATTCATACCAATAGTAGTAAACGAAATTGGTAACACTGATACCCAGAAGTGCCGACTCAAGTCCCGAATATAGTCCGGCAAGCCCCTCTCTCTGGACAATGCGACGAACCGCGTCATAGATTGTCGAATGGGCCCGCTTGGATTCAACCTGGGCCCTCGTTGAGAGAGTGATGAGCGGGTAACTTTTAAGGTTAAACAAAGCGTTAATGAAGACCCAGTCGAGCAGGGAGCGTTACTCACGTCAACGCCATCGAGAGAATGCCGCCTCCCGCACCGGCCAAGGCATGCGCTATATTATCGCTCTGTTGCATGGCAGCGGATACTGCCAACCCCTTCTTCTCCTCATGGATGCTTGCTTGAGACATCGGCCACGGACTTTTCACGCTGCATCCAAACACGATGCACGATTAATATGATAGAAGGAAACTTGCTTGTAGTGAAGGTAGTCAACGCGTTGCAATACTCACAGATATGACTGGGAGAGTTCGGAGGAGGGGCTTTCTATTGTTCCAACTAAGAGAATCAGGTAAAGGAAGGGCGAGCGTTGCAGGAAGGAACGAAGCAGAAGATCGAGACACCAACAATAGAAAACTGCAGGAAGTTGGTTATTGGATACCTTATCAAGAAAAGGGTGAAAGGGGGGGGCAGGTGAAAGGGTCGAGTTTTAAGACACCGAGATATGTAGAAGGGCGCGAGAATGACTCGGCTCAGGAGGTAAAAGCAACGACGCTCATGACGTTTACCGAAATTTGGGCCTCGGCTGATGCCCCTCCCGCAAAATTCGGGTTTCAGTCGCGTGTTTACCAAAGGTACAGACAGTGCCCAGCAGGATGTTGACCAGATTCCAGCGGTAAACGCCAACATGTACAGGACTAGGGCTGGTGCGATGAAAGCGTATGTAGCTCACATCGGCACCCCTAACCCAAGATGTACGGAGTATGTACTGTATACCGCATAGTAGTCAGATGGAATGACATATCGGAGTCACGCTACGTTGTTATCGTTATCGTAGATGAGGTCCGTTACACACCTGGAGCGTACTGTACTGTACATACATCGCAGGAGTCACTCTTAGCCCCCCCCAAAAGTTTTTCCACCTAAGTACTCATGAAATCATTTACATTCGGCGGCAGGTAATTTCTCAGATGCAAAAAGGCGACTAGGTAGTAGGAAAAGTCAGGTCGCCAACACCTAAGGCTTAGCAATTCAATACGGAGAAGAAGCTGAGCCAATTTCGCATGTGACATTTCCTTCTTGCGGTAACCAATCAATCACTTAATGGGCTGCCGACCCACCCCCCTTCCTTGCACTGCATGCGGGCAGAGGTGGGTAAGTACTGTAAATGTCACGGTACCTGTACTCAGCTGTACATTCGTTATTACTCTTAAGACCCATCTGTCGGCCTGGATTGGTATTTAGCCACTCATTAATCTATTAGTTGAGTAGAAAAGTCTACACGGAAGGCAAATAGTAGAGAAGGGATCAGGAGGAAGGATGGGACCCGCGGTAATAAGAGCCCACTGGTTCGACGCTTTTGCTTAAAGATTCATTGTTCTCTGAATTAACTAAATAATCGACCGCGAGCGAGTAAACAAGGCAAACAATCCAACTTACTAGAAGAAAGACCAATCGAATGGAGACTTGTGGGAGAGACACTAGTAAGGAAGAAATAGAGACTTGAGAAGATTATGGGTGGAAACCAGCGTGATGAAAGCAAGAAACAATGAAAGGAAGCGGACTGGGGGCTGGGCAGTGAAGACTAAAGAAAAGTCAGCAAAAAGCAGGCGGGGATGGGAGTAGGTGCATCTGTGGTATGACAGTGTATAAAGACGAAACGCAAGCCTTCTAAAGCATGAACAATGAAACTATTCCTATGGCCATTCCTAGCATGAAGGGTCTGCATCCACCCCAGCACTGAGAAGACAGCCAGTGATAGGGCGCAGCCGGTACATCTTCCCTCTAGCTCGTCTTCTTGGATCCCATAATTCCCCTTCTGCCGTTACATGTTGGAAGGACAGCACCTGGAACCACAAGCACAGTCGCCTAACAGCAGCCGCCGGAAGAGCCAGGTTGAACTCCCTGGCCCTGACCAACTTGCACAGTAGGCTTGTTGTTGACGGTGGCAGTTCCCATACGTTCCTTGATCTGTCTAGCCATTGTCAAAAAAGCTTGCTCGACATTCGAGGCATTCTTGGCCGAGGTCTCCAGAAACGGTATTCCGAGGCTGTCCGCAAATTCCTGTAGCATTCACATATTCCGTTAGTTGCCGACCGGAATACTCCAGCTACTGGCGACTGTAGCGACGTACCTTGGCCACTGTGTACTCCACTACCTTCTTGTCTTCCATATCGCTCTTGTTGCCCACAAGCAACTTATTGACACCCTCGGTGGCATAGCGGTCGATTTCTTGGAGCCACTGCTTAACGTTGTTGAATGAGTCCATATCAGTGACGTCGTAGACAACGCAGATACCATGAGCACCACGGTAATAAGACGACGTGATAGTCCTGAATCGCTCCTGGCCCGCAGTATCCCACTGAAATGCATTAGTGATCCCTAGTCATCATCTCGCAATACCGGCTTCCTTACAATCTGGAGTTTCACCGTCTTTCCGTCGAGTTCAATAGTGCGAATTTTCTAAGGCATACTATCAGCAGGCCGGTACACGGGGAAGGCGGAGCCTGAGTTGGGAAAGACACCTACAAAATCGACACCGATGGTGGAGATGTAGCTTTCCGTGTAGGTATCATCGGCAAATCGAAGAAGTAAGCAGGACTTTCCTACACCAGAATCTCCAATGAGGAGAAGCTTGAAGAGGTAGTCGTATCTGCTCAAAGCGTCAGCCTGGCTATGAATGAGACGCTGGGCCGCCCATCTTCTTTCTCGCCATTGGGAAGGGAGTATGGAGGCGGGGAGAGATCGGGGCAACTCTAAGAGAACACACAAATTAGCAAACATGCCGGCCGGTCAGTAGAGACAATCCAAGGAACTGCACGATAGATGGAAAGTGATGCAAGAGTTTGTGGTGATTAATACAACAGCACGCAACCCGATGAATCGCTCGGGGCCTAAGCGGATCGAGGCACTTACGACTCAGGGTTCATGGTGGAAACGGTGGAGGTATGTGTCGAAATTTGCAGGTGCTTAGAACAAAGAAGAAGACTACCGAGGACTGGTTCGAAAGCTATCTGGATGCGTTGGATGAGAAGGTGCAAGTAAGAGTGGCAGCAAGCTGTGGTTGTAAATGATGCTCGGAGCGTCTGTCTATTAAGCTGAGGGTGACCAGGCGGTCTCTTGGAAATGGCGGTTGTTGCGTTGCTGACGACTGCAGGAGAGCAGGGGAGCCCAATGTGCAGGTTCCAGCCGCGGGCTGCTGGTGACCGTTTCACACTCACTGACCCACCCACCTACCTCAAAAGCCTATGGGCCAATCTGGATTAGTGTCCTGGTACAGGAAGTCTTACGAAGTCCAACAACTGGGACACTAGTTAGTTAACTGACTTACTGTTAAATTAGTAGTTAAATATAAGTAAGGTAAGCGTGGTCGCGGTAGAAATAGGCACATTGTTCATTGGCATGTTCTAGTAATATGATCTGCAGAATGTGTCACGGGTACAACCACTCTCCATCAGAAACCACCACAATGTAAACCCTGAGATCTGATCATCATTTGTAATACTGCACAAATGACCATCTCATTCTGATACCATTAATACTACTCTACCTCGACAGACACCCAACAAGCCAATAAACAAGGTGAGAAGGCACTTCTGCGTATTGCTTTATTCAATCTCGGCTGTTTCGTCCTATTGCTCAGGTGATTCTCCCAGCCACAACGGGACTGGCTCTCACCGAACAACTATGTCATGCAAACCCACTCCCTCAAGAGAGCGGCAATCACTGTTCCTAACTAATCAAGCATATCCATGAACCTGAAGCCACTCCAACACTAGACCCTCATCTCTGTCTTTGTAGTGCAAATTTGTGCGGATGCTATCAGCAACGATAACCAGAGCACGGTCGTAGGCACTGGTATCCTTATCCTGAAAGAAGGCAGAGATGTCGGCTTCAATAGTGTGATCGGCGAATTTGGAAAGTCCCATTCGCACAAAGCGCTCGAAAACAACATTATTTGTCGATAAACGTGATTCAACCATGTCCCAATGCGATTTCATGTACTCCCAAAGTAAATGGCGAGTGCTTGAATTCGAAGCAAGTGAAACTGCACCGTTATGTATGTCCTGTATAGCAACCTTGTCTGAGAAGACAAAATCGAGATAATCCCTGACCAAATCGGGATTCTTCGTGCGTCCAAGAGCCCCTAGGCAGATCTCTTTTCCATCGACAGAATCGGTTCTCAAATATTCCTCCTTGACGGAAACATAATCTTGAGTTCCACCCTCAGAAACTACAACACCAAAAATAACAGAGCGCAGGTTGGGATGCACAGCATTTTTGTCTTTAGCAGTGTTCCAGAGCTGGAAGCGTCGTGTTGCCTCGGAAATCATACTAACGCTCAATGTTAGTGAAGGTCTCAGTTAAGCAGCCTCAGGATGTGAAGAAACTTACTCTTTATGCCCAGCATGGCATGCCATTCCAATCAAAAGTTTCCGAAGCTGTACAGTAAGATAATCATCTTCGGGCTTAAACTCCCAGCCAATTTCTTCAGCGGCGGGTGAGACTAATTCAAGGGTGAATTTCTTCAGCCCTGATGATACCGAGTTGTTTTGAGCAAACACCGAACGTAAGTTTCCGATGGAAGTTGAGATTTGAGACCAGATCCTAGAAGATAGGCATCGTTAGAGACTGAGATCACAAAGAAGATGTACTAACGGTGTTCAAGGGATGCTGACAGATAGTTCTTTTCTTCCTTGAAACCACTCAATAAAGATAGCAAGGCAGTCGTTGTGCCATTACCAGAAACGGCAAGAGCAGCAGCATCGCCGATCAGGCCGATCTTATCCTCAGTACTTAGTAGGTTCAAAGACTGTCCGAGTTTAGCCAAACGATCAGCAGGATAGTTGGTGCGGTAGAAACCAGAAAGGTTCTTGTTTATCTTGTAGAAGGATTCCTGCCCCACACCGGGGACTGAATCTGATTTAGATACCAAAGCACCCTTATTTGTGTCGGACACCTCACGAGCCGACTGGATACCTAGCGGAATCCACCATGTTGTTTCGTCCTCATCTGGTTTGGCATCGCCTGTCGAGAGAAAGCGGTTTTGTCGGATGTTGATTTGGCCCGGCTCCTCGGTGATAGTGATAACGGGGAATCCGATCTTGCGAATCCAAGGGTCCTTCGCCACCCTATTAGTTCAGGGGAACCCAAATGGACTGAAGAAAATTACCATGAAGCTAGTTACATCCTGGTTGGATGCCTTGCTTAGAGCCGACCAAAGATCATTTGTGGTAGCATTTCCTGCACACCATCAAAATCAGCAACTCGATGTTCGCAGGCCTATTGCATTTGCCAACTTGCCGTAAGCGTGTGCCTTGAGATACGCAGCTACACCGCGTAGAAAGGTCTGTCGACCGAGGTGATCACTCAGCATGCGAATGACCGAGCTTCCCTTCAGGTAGCTGATGTGATCGAAAATCTGGTCCACTTCGAGAGCGTTTCTAACGGGTACCTCAATCGGATGTGATGCCCGCAAAGAGTCAAGTTGAAAAGCTTGTTGAACACCCTCAGCCTGTGTGCCGGTTAACATAGAACTAACACGCGGATTTACCTCGGGAATTGCGCACAACAAACTGAGACCAGATATTCCATTCTGAATGTAGGTTCTGGGTTAGTTCTATGGGACAATGATCACGCGATGGCCAAAGCTCACCAGGATAAAAGTGGTCAACAGCAAGCCAACCGACCCAAGTTGCAAACCCTTCGTTAAGCCATAGTTCGTTCCACCAATCCATTGTAACAAGATTGCCAAACCATTGATGGGCCAGTTCTGAGAGCATTGCAGGTTAAGTATAAGGTGGTATTGCTTTGATGAAGAAGACTCACCGTGCGCGACCACATAAGCAATGCGGTTCTTATACCGGGTATCGGACTTGCCCTCTTCAAAAAGAACAGCAGTTGTTCGATACGTTACGAGTCCCCAGTTTTCCATAGCACCCATCGCCTATATAGTATTAGTGGACTTGTTCGATGTCGTGTAAGAAAGGGTATGCACAAATTCATGGACAGCGAGAAGATCTGCCTTGGGCAAGGGATATTCTATCTCGAAAATCTCGGAGAAGTAGTCAACGGTGCGATGAGCACATTCTAGAGCGAATCGAGCTTGCTCTTTCAGACCTCTGGTTGTATAGACACGGACGGGTATACTCTTTCCTTGATACTTGCGCTCTGTCATCGCCTCCACGTATTCGAAATCGCCAACTGCCCATGCCAGAAGCTGGATTTGATGTTAGAGAGATCCCTGCCGGATCACTGGAAAGACTCACATATGTGCTCATAACGGGAGTTCTCTCAAAAGAGACAAGTTTGAGTCCCGGCTTACGTCCAGCCTTCTCATCTTTAATAGGCATGTTGCTCAGGGCAGTTTGACCGGTGGGCACCTCGATCTCGAAATCAAAGGTGGCTTTCAGATTTGGTTCGTCGAAGCATGGGAAAGCCCGACGCGCATCACAAGACTCGAATTGGGTGCTCAACATGTAGTGAAAGTCTCCTTCTTTGGGTGTGTCTTCAACTGGTTCCACAACAGGGATGTATTTAGAGCGGTAGAACCCGGCCATCGCGTTGTTCATGGTTCCGGTAAAATTCATCGAGAGAAGAATATCAGAGGGTGCAATTTCCGACGGGAACTTGAAAGCCACCCGCTCAGAGGTTCTATCATAAGAGATCTCGGATGCTTCGGACAATTTGGTCCCTAACGGAGGCCGTCAATATTATGGCAAAGGAAACAATCATGGGCAAAGCCCGGTGCAGGTGATGACGGACCATCTTCGCCATAAATTTCGACTTTCTGAACCTCGATTTCCTTCGAGTTGAGCACAATCTCTTTCGTGGGGCGGGTGACTCTGGCCTTGACCTTGACGGTCCCATTATAGCCCCAATTATCACTGAACTGCAGATCAAACAAAGACACGTCGTAATGGACTGGGATAGCTCTGTGCTCATCGTTAGAAAAGTGTCTTTTGAAAACCCAAAAGTCACAGTTTGCAACTCACACGTCCGGGAGGACATCTCTGTCATTTGATGCCATTGTGCGGGTGCGGAAATCAGAAGAGCAACACCTTGCGGAGGACGAATGGCCAGCAATCGTGAGAGTAGGAGGCAAATGTGTGCGCGGAGAGAGTGAAAGAGCCGATAGATGGCGGGAACGCGAGAAAGCGAAGGAGGGGGAGCAGGGGAGGGGAGAGGAGGGGCAGTAGAGGGAAACTGGTCGGACCGGCTGATAAACCAGAAATCGTCCACGGATTCGAGCTTTGCCGCCAGTACGTGTACATCTGGCTGGCGACGCCGTGGCGGCTGTGCTTCTAATGGGACACCTTCTCCCCCACATTTCTTATGCTAATGGTATCTGGATCTGGTCGAGCGAGCCTAAATTGGGCGAATCTCTGTCTACGGTTATCTTCGGCCCATGCCACAAAGCCTCATTTACCCGTAACGATACAGATATGGGGTGATACACACACATACAAGTAATTCAGAAAATCCTGAGGGGGGAGGACAAGAATGGAAGGGAGATTGCAATGAGGGTAAGAATCCTGAGAGCCTGAGACAGAATCACTTTATTGTGTTTTACAGAAGGCTCAGGCAAAGACTGAAGGGCAGAGTGGGAAGGGGAGGGAATTGTACGTAAACGAAGTCCAGATTTACCGAGTCGCGTCTGTGTAAAGTGAGAAAGATATGAAACCAAGAGTTTATGGTTTAGTATATGATTTGGTAGTGTCATTCAATGATCATTATTGTTGTTCCATCAGGACACAGACCGGAGCTCCGACGGAGCTTGGACCCTTTTCGGGAGACGAATGTAAGTTAATTCCTGGTTGATTCTATTATCTAATCACGGCCGAGAGGTGAGTACCCAGCAGTAGTACTCCGTACTGTTCCTACCTAGTCGAACTACTCAATATTCCTACTGTATACACTATCTAAGAATGCTTTACTACTAAAGAGGTGTCTAGTAACAACACACTAGTCCCCAAAACCGCTAAAGCCGATCGTTCAAGCATCTTCACCTATCCTGGTCGTTCGCTCCAACCCCAGATCCGTCCTTCGCAGCCTGCCTCACAATTTTAGAAGATGGCCGATTCCGATGAAGAGTATGCTGGGGAAGTCTCCGAGGATGAGGTAGATGGCAGTCAAATCTCATCTCGAGGCGGAGCCGCTCAACCGCCGCGTTCGAAAAGAAAGAAAAATCGCGGAGGCGCCGAATGGGAGGTCTCAAGGACTTGGGAGAGCTTGGTCGAAGGCGCAGATGGCACGATCAACTCTACAGTAGAGGGCCTACTTGAAGCTGGGAAAAGGAAGAGGTTAGCTTCTCTTTTCTCTCACCCTTGATACATGTCCAAGGGGGGAATAAACGACACTGAATACAGGTGGGGTATAGCGAAGCTGAAAATCTTCACAGACTTCTACGGGACACCACACCACTACAACGAGGCATTATCCGCCATCTTATCCTGGTTCTCGACTTGTCACACTCAATGGCAGAAAAGGATCTACGGCCAACACGATATCTCCTGTCCCTGCGCTATGCCCAAGAGTTCGTCAGAGAATTCTTTGAACAGAATCCAATCTCCCAGTTGGGTGTACTTGGCCTGAGGGATGGCCTCGCAGTACGGGTTAGTGATATGAGTGGAAATCCTACTGAACATATCAGTGCAATTCAAGCCCTACGAGAGCATGACCCGAAAGGTCTTCCTAGCTTGCAGAATGGGCTTGAAATGGCTCGAGGTGCTCTCTTGTATGTTCGCACCATCCAGAGTGTTGGCACAGCTGAATTGCCCCCACGAACCACGCAAACTAACCCATGGTTCACAGTCACACTCCCACTCACGGTACCCGTGAAGTCTTGATCATCTTTGGTTCCTTGCTCTCCTCTGATCCAGGTGATATTCACCATACCATAGCAACTCTGGTTAGCGAAAAAATCCGTGTTGGCATCGTGGGCCTTGCTGCTCAAGTAGCCATCTGCCGCGAGCTTTGCTCTAAGACAAATCATGGCGACGATACCACGTACGGCGTAGCTCTTAACGAGCAGCACTTTCGTGAATTGGTAATGGGCGTCACAACCCCTCCGACCACGTTTTCTCAAAGGCAGTCCGCAAGCTCCCTCCTGATGATGGGATTTCCGTCCCGTGCTGTCGAAGCCCACCCTTCTCTTTGCGCGTGCCATTCGAATCCTTCTTGTGGGGGCTATTCCTGCTCTCGATGCAATAGCAAGGTTTGCGGCCTTCCTGCCGAATGCCCTTCATGCAGTCTGACACTAATCCTTTCCACGCATCTCGCTCGGTCTTATCATCATCTTTTCCCATTGATGAATTGGGTCGAAGTTCCATGGGCGCGAGCCTCGCGTAGCCTGGCCTGCTTTGCTTGTGGTATAACTTTCCCTCCAGTGCCCCCTAGAGATCAATGGCAGGCCGCAGATGTACAGTCTAGAGGGATGAGCGTAAGCAGTCGCTATGAATGCACCGTGTGCCGTAACAATTTCTGCATTGATTGTGACCTTTTTGCTCACGAAGTTGTGCACAATTGCCCTGGTTGTCAAAGCGAGACCACATCTTCTACAACGCCTGGACTGGTTCAGGTAACTGACAGAATGGATACATCGGCATAATCCGATCGACATCGTTCAGCAATACTACGGGATATCCCAGCTCAATGACCTACTTCATACAGGAATTGCACATCTCTGTAAGCCTAACACTGTAGATGCTGGTGCAGAAAGACTCATCAGAATCGGCTCAGGGGCAGTTATATCCGCGGCTACCATATGGCCACTCTACACGAAATGCAGTTATTCCTGCAGGTTGACTTGGGCGTGGTGTCATGGTGATGTAGTAGGCACATCCTTCACTACGATCCGCATGTGACAATCTGAGCGAGCTGATATCCAGTCATGAAAGAGGCTAAGGAGCGATTAGAAGATGGTACCAATATCCTAGGAGGTAGCAAACTTGATTATATCTATATCAAATAATCCACTTTATTCTTGACCAGGCTACTAAGTACTGTGGCCTTGATTCGACCATTGAAATTAGTAAGTTAGCGATCGCGGAATATGAGACAGACCTCGGCTAGTCTTGTGTTAGACCGCCTGTCGCATAACCAGGTTCACATGCCGCAGGTCCGCTGGCTTTGACGCGTCGATTGACATCACCTTTGACATTCACTCATGTCCGATACAGTACGCTTTAGCTCCTCAACACGGTCATGAACCCCACGCGCACACCTGCTCTGTGGGAGGCTTCGATCCAGTCTTCAGACGAAGCAATTTCCCCGCCTGGAGTCGAGCAGGAAACGTGGGACGCTGAGCTCTTCGAAAGACTCAGTTCCTACCCATTCGAGGACGATCATGAGTTTGCACATGGGCTCTCGATAATTCTCGGCCACCCTGAAATACCAGCGTCAAAGGCCGAGATCGACCGGGACGATGATGTTATGTTACAGGCTAAATGTTTCTACTTCTCGAGGTTAGAACTTTCTACCGAAAACTTAGAAGCTATAGCTCTAACCATGACTGTTTTGCTCTCTTGGTTCAGGAAAGAGAAACTCCCGACTCCCGTGAACGTCGGAAAATACCAACTATGGTTACAAGCCAGACCCACAGCAGCTGAAGCTGCTGGTCCTATAAACCAGCAGCAACTCAACAGTGTGGTATCTGAAGACCGTGCAAATGCGCGGTTGAAGCAAGCAGAACCTGCGTATCCCTCCTCGTTCGCTCATATAGTCGAACTCATTACGACCGGGCAACCCATACCTGGAATTCAGCAGATACCAGACACTATACTCGCTGGCCAAGACACTCCAAGTGCCAGGTCAAGGAGACGGAAGCCGTGGGAGCTGGAAAGCGGCGAGCATATCGGCAGATGAATGACAAGTACGGGCTGATTTCCAAAAAGTTGCTCAAACAGCCAAGTCGACTCCTTGCCTTTAGTGGATGACCAATTGCGTCCTCGTCAGTAGTCCGATATGTCATATTAGTTCATAGCTAACAATAAGAGCTTCTGCAAAGTAGGTAGTACCGGTAAACTGGCAATAATTCATGAATTTGTCGTAAACCAACCTCTCGCACAAGCAACTGTATTTTGACCGCACCTCCCTTGTCTTCTCCTCATACTTAGAACGGCGAATAACAAGAAGCATAGGTAATATAGTATCAACATCATCTTGCTAATTCCTCGGGTCGCTTCTTTTCTTCACCTTTTCGGTTTGCCTCAGGTAGATAGAAAAGAGCTGTCCTGGATCAAGAGCCATAAAAACACGGCATGGTGCTATAGGAGCGCATATGAATGAATGAGGTGTGAAATTCGTCCGACTTGGACTAGATGAATCACGCATCAAGCGCAGCGCAGCCCTTCAAAAGCGTAACGATCAAAGTTGCCAAGTGCAGGCTACTGGGCTTCTACCTGGAACAAATCGACGCAGTAGGTTAGTTTGTAGCTCTCGTCACATGGTTGAAAGAATGGGTCTCGGTCTACTCTTGTTCTTGACATTGTGGTCATCGAAATGGCGGGTAGTTGGGGTTCCACTGAGTTGCGCGACTGAAACGTCCGCCGTGTTGTCCAGGCATCTGGTACCTGTCGTCGCCGAAATTGCCGAAACGATTGACCGAAAGGCCGGCACCTGGCCCGGGACGAGTTGTGTGAGAAGGGTTGCAACATAGCATAGCCACGCGGGAACCGAACTTAGAGCCACGCAAGGACACCATATGTTTTCTATACGTCACGTCAGGATCAAGCACGATGTTATTCAGCAGATGGGTGAATACCTAATATGGCTGGCGACCAACTCACGCTGGTGCGGTGAGGCATTTATCAATATCCATTGAATAAGGTAATTGCCATATTGGTCCCCAGCAACTGAATTAAGTCAGACAGCCATAAACAATGAGTAAGTTAGTTTACGCAAGGGCTTACTATCAATCAAAGGCATTCTCGGGCGATCACTGCGGCCTGTGCATACTCGAGCAAGGTAGCGATCTAGGAACTCGGAGCCGCCAATCTTCAGGCATTTTTCCACAATCTTCGAAGCAAATTGGTCCATGCTGTAATCGACTGACCAAGCAAGAATGTGCTCAACGGCGCGGCTTTTGTCGTGTGGGGCACCATGTTCGCAAACATGCTGGATGCACCAGTTTCCAAACTGGCCGTGGGCAAGTATGTCGATCTTTGATAACACCTCTTCGATAGCAGGGCGCTATGCATCTCGTTAGCAAGCATCCAGCAGGGATCATTGAATGTCCTCTGAGCAGCCTGTTCCAGCTTCTCTAGGTCCATTGAAGAACTTCAGAGAACAAAGAAGAAATGATCAAGTGTCACCTTTTCATCCTCGACGCAATTTTCGAATATGTTCTGCACTACCAAACTTCCCGTCTCGCCCAATGCGACTTCGTGCCACATCCCGCATAGTGCTTCGTTTACTTTACTCATGATCTGCGGGGGTTCTCCACTCCATCGCAATTCGAACAGTTTCTGCCAGACATGGCACGCGTACCTATGAATGACAGTTTCTGGTATTCGCCGCAGAAGTTCATGGACCATGACCGCTTTATGCTCTTCTGGGACGCAGTCAAAGGCCTTTTGTATCACATGGCAACCGAACGGATCCATACTCAGGCTCAGGGTATTCCCTTTGATAGCATTGGCGATTGCAATGATCTGGTCGGGAGTTCCATGTTCGAAGCAGCGTTGGACGAGAAAGTTCCCGAAGCGGTTTACCATGAGCGGATAGGCTTGATGTACAATCGCCTCTATGATTTCATACTTTTGCTCAGTTGTCCCAACCTTGAGCTTTTGTTGTAGGAATATTGAAGCTTGCTGGTCGTTATTACATACGATCTTATCGACTATATATTTCCAATCGCAAGAAACGTTTTTGTCAAGCAGTCGTCGGTAGTTGATTGGTTCCAATGGTGAAATGTATGTTTGGCTGGGATTTGTGCCCACCTATATACATAAGCTCAAGTCAAAACGACAGAAAGGTGGGACGTTTCTTACCGACGAAGATTGCCATGAGTTAGACGTATTGAACTCTGTGGCTGTTGGTGAGAGTGGGGTGCCAATTGGGCGTTGATGGTATGTATGAATTGGATACATTGCAACTTGCTGTTGGTAAGCACCGTTGGACCTTTCCATGGAAGATCTTGAAAGGGTTGACTCGGGACTTGACGCAAAGGCAGCTGGCCATGGAGTACCGTGGCTTGGGAAGCATGGTCCACCACGGCTATTCTGGGTGAATGAGCGCCGCGGACCTGGCCCTGGAGCCTGAAGGTACCTAGCTTGTTCCTCAGGGATATTGGAATCAAGGGTGAAGGATCCCGAGGCCGGTCCTGAGAAAACTCGATGTGATTGAAAAATATCGTGGCTCGGCACGCAAGAGTTTGTACTCGAGCCAGTCCAGAATCTGTTAGAGTCCTCGCTATAGGGACTGTTGCAAGGCAAACGGAATGGTTCTCCATAAGGTCTTTCCTTGATCGGGCTCATGTTTGTGCTCATTGCTTGCTGGGTTGCAGATGTCCAAAATGCCCGATTCCTGTTGTATGCTCCAGCAGAGAGAGCATCAGACATGTCGGACTGAGAGTCATCTTGCGTATTCCAGCCGTCCTCTATAGAGGTAAAGCCTGTCTGTGACGCTTTAAATGCACTTTGCAAATTGGCGATTGTTTGTTCTGTTACTTCTCGTCCATTGAACTCGGCTTCAGAAGGGGGTCCCAGTGCTTGGTCTATAGTATGTTTGATCACTCGAGTCTGGGCTAATTCCTGCTCTTGCAGGGCTATCTTTGAGTTGGCAGCCAGTAGTTCCTGCTTCAAACGTAACACCTCGGCCATGTCGATGTGAACTGCCTGCGACGACTCAGTTTCAACCAGATCAGTTGATGTGCGAGGAATTTCTCCTGATGGTAAACTACTGGGAGACTTGTCAAGGTCTGTATGATCATCACTAAAGTCTGGATTCGTCTCATCGTCAAACATGTGATGGCTATGTCGCTTCAGCAAGTGCTGCTCGCTAGGTATCCTTGAAAACAGGCTCTGGTCCACGGGTAGCTTGGCCTCGGACGGCTGAGGCTTGGGAGAAAGCCTTGCTAATATCCTTTCCATCTCGGTGTGGGTATTTGGGGAGACAATATTGAAATGCTCCAACTTCTGCTTCTAGGCTTGTGAGATTTTGGACTGATGGTATTAGTGGCGAAATTCTGACCTTGCTTGATGGGACATCATGGTAAAAGTCATCTGCCGATGTTTGACTGCCCCCGGGAACAGATGATCTCAGAGACTCCGTCACACTGGCTGGAACCTTGGAATGTGTATGGCTCTAGGATTGATGTATTGCTGTTAGAACTTTATAGCTACTGCGTCGTGTTTTAGAGACTCACTGCGACCTCGTCTCCAAGATTTAGTACATGGAAAGTACTCGCAACACTATGAGGAGGGCCACTGTCGGTGCGGTTCAGCTTGGATGATGTTATTGACATGAGAGACATCATGTGTCGAGTGCCGCCTAATTGAAGTTCTTCAAGATTCGCGACGGTGCACTCGTCCAGTATCAAACGTTAGAGCAGGTGGCTGGAGCAGTTGAGAGTCAATGATGCCAATCGTTCGCAAGGAATGTATAGGTGGTCGTTATTTGAGGATGGACCGGAACGACAATAACTATTGGTAAGATACGACCAGATCCCATCCAGAAAGAGGCAGGGTAGATAGTCACAATATCGGAAAGAGGATATATGAAGCCTTCAGTGTCCCTACCGGCCTGTATACTGCATGTATAGCAGGGTTAGTACTACAATCCGGAAGTAGCGACGGAGAGTATTGGTTGGTACCTATAGTACCTACCTAAGTCAAATAGAATGAAGCCCGAAATAGCAATGGTTGGAGGAAGTCGCGTGCGAAGGGCCGCTGCCAGTGAAAAGTATCTGCGGGGTTCGGTTGGTAAATTAAGGTACCTACCTAGGTAGTGGCATCATGTCTAATAGTATGTCAAAGAAACCGACTGAGGGGGGTGATTATCATTCTCTGCCGATGGTCAGTAAGAGAATGTTGCAACAGCTTGATAGGTACAGTAAGCAGGAGACTGTCCTAAGACCTAAGAAGTGTACTATGTTCTATAGAATACTCTAAGTAGGTTTCCATACTCACATAGTAAGAGCTACACATACATCATGTATGATCAAAAACAAGACTCTGTCGGCGCATAAGTACATACTATGTATATAAGATGGTGCAGCAGTTGTGGGGGGGGGGTGGGGCCTTTGTCCATTTCTGTAGTAACAAATAAGTTTACTTGGGAGAGACAACTTTCTCGAATCATGTTACCAGAATATCTTCCATACCCTAGGCAAGTACGCAAAAGGCATATAATTCTATCTGATTGAATAGAGTATGTATTGATTGTATATAATGTCTAAATGCATGGTTGATGGCCTGTCTATACCTTGCGTACTACATAATGTACCGTACCTGTATACACCTTTATTTTTTCCATTACTGCTGAGATCTTTTGAAGTATATAGAGGGTGGGATGGCTGGCTACTGCAGGTGACAATTTCTTATCGTGGGCGGCGTATCCACAACATATACAGTTCAGAGTACAGTGTACAGTGTACATACAGCATGCACAAAGTAAAAGTATCAACTCACTATTATAAAAAAAATCTATATAGCAGGCCTCAGACTATAATTATATACTAATTAAATAAGCCGGCTATATTTATTTATAAAAAGAATAGTAATTCTGTAAATAAATAAATTAGTAATAATATCTTAAAATAATATATTAAGTTCTTAGGCCCTGCGAGAGTTATTTGTTTATCATACTATTTCACCACTTCAGTCCTTGTAAATTTTTAGACTTTTACTTATTTAGTATATTAATAAGTTTTTTTTCATTATTTATAGTATAATCTATATTTTTATTACTAAATCTATAAGATGTTCTTAGCTGCTTCTACCAGTAGGTCCCGGAGAGTTGTAAAATTCGTGGCCACGGAGGGTAGGTGAAATTAGTCAGCAGGTTAGTTACCTAGTTAACTAACTACTATGTAAGTTAACTTAGTTGACACAAGTTACGGAGTAGTTAACTGCAGATAAAAAATAAGAGATTCGTCATCCAGCACTCCACCGCCGGTCCTGGCAAATGCTACTAACCGGCTACGGATACTACTAGCGTTGCTGGACTAACCCGGATATTCCCTGCGTATCACGTAGTCCTGCTAGGCAACTACCTCTTACAATCCTACAGATCCCTTTCACACAACGAGAGATACTGGCTGGTTGAGCAGTAGTGCTGGTCTTCTACTAGGTACTGCGCCTCCGACCCTTATAAGCGTTTACTTAACTTATCCCATACTTATCTAAAGGCTAGCTTGTTGCCAATTGCTCTGAACTTCCCAAACCTGGCTTCGATGAAGACTACTGATGTTGCCGGCACCTCACAGATTGCGAATGCCACGTCCCTCATTCTTGTCTATTCTCGAAAAACTGCCACTATCTCATCACTGTGGCGCGTGCGATACTCTACCTTCTAGGCGCAAAGATCGGTCCTCGCTCATTAGCTTTGATGACCATTACCCAGACTGCACCTTTTCTGGTACGGTGTTACACTTACCCACTTGCCTTGGACCTAGCTAATATTACCAACAACAGCACCTCTATTGAAATATTAGTACTGATACTCGAATGAGCACGACGGTCGTGACCGGTACTGGGCGACGCTCGTCTGTGTTGCTCTCAGAGCTACAGATGCCAGCAAATACACCCGGCTCACAACCAAAGCACATGACTAGCCCGATAGACAAATTTCCGCCGTTCAGCGACGAGTCGTTTGATACGATAAAGGATTCAAGGGAACACCACTCGGGTTCCTCAGTCAGATATGCGCCGGCACGCTGGGAGCCGCGAAAGACAGGGCAGTTTCCGTACGATGAGAAAGCAGTATTCGCTGGGAATACGAGACAACGGTCAAGAAAGAGCATCAGCGAGACAATCAGCACGATTAGGACTCGCAATGGTAGCGTGAGTGCTAATGCTCAGGAGCTGGCTGAAGCACTGAAGGCACCAGTCTCATACAGGTTAATTGTAATGATGCATGCTTGCTTATATGTCCTAGCTATGCTGACCTGCTTCTAGACTCTCTGTCTCATTTGGTATCTGACCTCGGCTCTGACAAACACCTCCTCAAAATCGATTTTGAATGCACTGCCGAAGCCAATCACCTTAACCATGGTACAATTTGCTTTTGTGTCTTTCTGGTGCCTGTTACTGTCGTCTGTGTCCAGAATGCTACCCTCACTCAAGGATAGCATACCAGCACTTAAGCATGGAATCCACACACCATCGCGCGATATTATTGTTACTGCTTTGCCTTTAGCGATTTTTCAGTTAGCCGGACATATTCTCAGCTCCATGGCTACTTCACAGATACCTGTCTCACTCGTTCACACCATCAAGGGACTATCACCCCTCTTCACGGTCATGGCATATCGTGTGCTATTTCGGATTCGTTACGCCAGAGCGACGTATTTGTCCCTCATTCCGTTAACCCTCGGTGTTATGCTCGCGTGTTCTACGGGGTTTTCCACTAATTTCTTCGGCATTTCATGTGCGCTAGTCGCAGCCCTCGTTTTTGTGTCACAGAACATATTTTCGAAGAAGCTGTTCAACGAAGCGGCACGAGCAGAATCCAACCTTGAGCCGACAAGCCGGCGAAAAATGGACAAGCTGAATTTGCTGTATTATTGCTCTGGTCTAGCTTTTGTCCTGACCCTGCCCATCTGGGTTGTCTGTGAAGGATACCCATTAATATCGGACTTCATGAAGGACGGTGCGATTTCCCTCACAGGAAAAGAGGGCTCTCTCGACCATGGTGCTCTTTTTCTCGAATTCGTATTCAATGGTGTATCGCATTTTGCACAGAACATCTTGGCGTTCATCCTTCTATCTATGATTTCGCCCGTGTCATACTCCGTTGCATCATTGGTCAAGCGAGTATTTGTTATTATTGTTGCGATCGTTTGGTTCGGGAGCTCAACAACCCCTGTACAAGGTCTTGGGATTCTCCTCACATTTGTTGGGCTCTATCTATACGATCGCAACAGCCATGATGATTTAGCCGATCAGAGAGCCAACGCCGATCACTTCCGCGTCAAGGAAACGGTACTTCCGTTGAACGAACGGACACCAGTGAGAGCCAGAGAGCCCACTGGCTTCTCTCCAGCAGCAAGCAAATTTCCGGATCATCAATCCTTGGGCGATTCACTCTCGCATACGAATGACTTGAAGAAGGTGTATGACGGACAGGGCTATGTTCGCCCAAGAGGAAGCAGTACTTCCCGCGCTTGGTTGGCTCCTGGCATCCGGCAACCAGACTACATGGCGCCCTAGTGATTCCTAGGCGTAACTGCGCCTTATATTCCTGTGTTCCCTTGTTCTTACATTTTAATAGCATTTTGCCTTCGGCACACGTCTTATCGGATATTATAATAATTGAGGTAGTAATAATGTTATCAATGTTGCGAGGTACCTAATCATTGTCTGGAGAATGATGAAGGCGCTACGACCATTCTTTTGTTAGATGGCGTGCCTACGACAAGGCTTGGAAAGATATTAGGTCGTGACGATTCCCTACTTTCAAGTGCACATACATGTTATTTCTACATCTAGAATCTGGGTAGCGGCATGTGATGACTGTCTGGAGGTAATGTCCTCAGAGTTGTTGATTTATAGATCTGGTAATAGGTTTGAGAGATGTAGCAACTGTCAGTAAAGAACTATACCTGCATCAGGCTGACTCATTTTCACTGATGTGAAGACGAAAGCAGCCCTAAGGAGCTCCAGCTCAGTGCAAATGTTCTAGGGCTATGTAGCAGAGGAGGAAGAGATATCAGTACCCTGCCTCCTACAATAATCATGCCCGTGAAATGAGTTTATAAGTCTGAAAAGGAAAAGGAAAAAGAAGAAGGTCGGAGGGACAGAGCTTGTTTATAGGGATGAAAGAGGCGTCCCGGAAGATTTATTTTGCCGCGTAACCGAACCAATCCGCGGGCGGCGATTTGCGAGTGACGCCCCGACTCGTGTCTGGCAGAATCCGAGCCAGACCAAAAGTGCTCTCTCCAACAAAGGACCTGTCCTGCCACCCTGTTACTACCTACTCTCCAGGTGGATGCCGCTCTTGTTCACCCTTATCACATTTGACTCTCCTCACATTATGCGGCCGCAGCTGTATCGTGCGGCCGCCCGGCTCATCCGGGTTCCAAAGGTCAACCATCTCAGGACCTTCGCAACGACGTTCCCTCGCTCTGCCGAGGTGGAACTCACTATCGGTCAGTCTCTGCGATGTTGAAGCCACTTCAAAATGCCTCCACTAACGCATCCCTTCAGATGGAAAGAAAGTTTCGGTAGAAGGTGACTCGGTCTCCCTTGTGCAGTCTCTGAATTCTTTTCTTACATGACTTGAACAGCTGGCTCGGCTCTCATCCAAGCTTGTGAAAAGGCAGGTGCGACAGTACCCAGGTAAGAATAAGTACTCAATGAAGACATGGTGAACGCAAATTAGCTGACTTGAATAGATATTGTTACCACGAGTAAGCCGCCATCATTATAACGTCTTTCATAACAGAATGACACGCTTTGCTAATACCATTCCAGGAAGCTTTTGATTGCAGGTAACTGTATGTCTGAGCTCGGATAATTTTCTGTTTCGATACAAATATTGATTTTCTCACAGGCCGTATGTGTCTCGTCGAAGTCGAACGGGCCCCTAAGCCTGTGGCATCATGTGCTTGGCCTGTGCAGCCTGGCATGAACGTCAAAACCAATTCGCCACTGGTGCATAAAGCTAGGGAAGGAGTGATGGAGTTTCTTCTTGCCAACCATCCCCTGGATTGCCCAATTTGCGATCAAGGTGGAGAGTGTGATCTCCAGGACCAATCTATGCGGTATGGTGCTGACCGTGGACGTTTCCACGAGGTCGGAGGCAAGCGTGCTGTCGAAGACAAGAATATCGGGCCTCTTGTCAAAACCTCTATGAATCGCTGTATTCACTGTACGCGTTGTGTTCGATTTATGAATGATGTTGCCGGAGCCCCCGAACTCGGCACCACCGGCAGAGGAAACGACATGCAAATCGGTACATACTTGGAGAAGAACCTCGACTCCGAGCTTTCTGGCAATATCATCGATCTTTGTCCAGTTGGAGCTCTTACCTCCAAGCCTTACGCTTTTCGTGCTCGCCCCTGGGAATTGAAGCACACTGAGTCTATTGACGTGCATGACGCTTTGGGGTCGAACATAAGAATAGACACTAGAGGCATGGAGGTGATGCGGATACTTCCGAGGCTGAACGATGATATCAACGAGGAATGGATCAACGACAAATCTCGGTTTGCTTGTGATGGCCTTAAGACTCAAAGACTCACCACGCCCCTAATTCGTCGGGAAGGGAAATTTGTTCCCGCGACTTGGGAGCAAGCTTTGTCCGAGATTTCATCAGCCCATCAGCGACTTCATGTGACGGAAAATGAGTTCAAGGCTGTTGCCGGGCACCTTGTCGATGCCGAAACCTTAGTGGCCATGAAGGATCTGGCCAATAAGCTTGGGTCCGACAACCTTGCTTTGGATCAGCCAGGTGGCAGTTCCCCGGTTGCGCACGGTGTTGATGTTCGCTCCAACTATCTTTTCAACTCCAAGATCTATGGAATTGAGGAGGCCGATGCAATCCTTTTGGTCGCCACGAACCCTCGCCATGAAGCTTCCGTTCTCAATGCGCGTATTCGCAAGCAATATCTTCGCTCAGATCTTGAAATTGGGCTTGTTGGCGAGGAATTCGAAAGTACTTTCGAATTCGAGCACCTTGGGGCAGACGTTTCCGCTTTGAAAGCTGCTCTTTCTGGAAAGTTCGGAGAGAAGCTTTCTATGGCCAAAAGACCTATGATCATCGTTGGCAGTGCTGCGGCCGAACACCCGGATGCCAAAGTGATTTTCGAGTCCATCGGCAATTTTGTAGAGAAACACGCTAACAACTTCATTACTTCGGAATGGCAAGGATACAACGTTCTCCAACGCGCAGCATCCCGTGCAGCTGCCTATGAAGTAGGCTTCACTACGCCATCTCTAGAAATTACCCAGAGCAAGCCCAAGATGGTTTGGCTTCTTGGTGCTGATGAAGTCGCCCAGAGCGAAATCCCTAGTGACGCCTTTGTCATCTACCAAGGGCATCATGGTGATAGGGGCGCTCAGCTTGCGGATGTTGTTCTACCCGGCGCAGCGTACACTGAGAAGTCAGGGACCTACATCAACACAGAGGGTCGTGTCCAAGTTACTCGAGCTGCAACTTCTTTGCCTGGGGCTGCCCGCGATGACTGGAAGATCATACGTGCTGCCAGTGAATTCCTTAACATACCTCTTCCTTACGATGATATTGAGGCCCTGCGCGACCGTATGGAAGAGATCAGCCCTGTCATGCGCCGATATGACGTGGTTGAACCAACATCGTTGAGCTCATTGAGCAAGGTCCAACTAGTTGATCAGAACAAGGGCACTCAATCCACTAATACGCCTTTCAAGAAAGTCATCAATGATTTCTATTTTACTGACTCAATTTCCCGGAGGTACGTGCTTAACATGCCCCCCACCCCTGATGCTTATCGCTTGAGGTAAATTGCTGTTTGTGGTCTAACTCTATCTCAGTTCCCCGACTATGGCTCGCTGCTCTGCCGCTAAGGCTACCGGAAATCCGGAGACAAACTTCATGGCTGCTGGGGAGATGTCCTCGAAGGCTTTGTACGGCTAGATGTCAGGTTCCTCACTATTACTCCGATTTCTACTTATTGTCTGGTGGTCTAGGCGTTGTCGTTGTAACACCTAAACAATTTGTTTCCTTATTGCTTTTGCCCTAGTCCAATGTTATTATAGTTGAGTACTGTGCTTTCGCTTCGCGTTGTCTTGAAGCTCCCAATCACGCCAAGATAAGTCTCAAACCACACCAGCAGTGGTCAAGTTGTACATAAGAAAATCTGAATGATAGCTGGAGGTACTGCAAGCCCGGAATATTCTTATCTCAACGCTGGGATATTGTCTGTCAAATGTGTGTCTACATTGCACAATAATTAGTTAAGATCCGCTACGCTTGGATTCCCTCCAAAGGATCATGCAGAAAGCAAGTACCAATCAAGAACCACATTTCTATTGCCTAAAATGGTCTGGAGCTTTGGCTGTTAGTTTTATATCATAATTCATCATCATCCGTTTCCCCCATGCTGTCCTTGGCTTCTTTGTTTTCATGTCGATCTATTCGTACAGTAGCTGTCGCATTTCCCCTCGTCCTCGGAAAGGGAAGCTCTCGTCGCTGTGGAGTCAATTGTTTCTTGCTTATGGACTGCGAATGAGTTTGTTGTGGACCAGAGTTGCTTATCCGAGGATCATGACTTGGCAGGGGTCGCATGTCTTCGTCAGTAGTGGACTCATCTTCTTCCCCTGAAGGCCGCTGCATCAAGGGTGGCTCATTGTCTGTGCCTGAATCTGTGCCTGAGACCGCTTTAGAGCTATCGTGGCGCTTAGCCCGGTCATCTTCCGAATCTTCGAAGCCGGTACCACTTCCCAACACCTCATAGGACGGTGTCGAAGCTGAACCATTCGCTCGCCTCTTAGCAGCAGTAGTTTGCCTAGATCCGCCCGATTGTGTTTCTTGAGTTCGGAACTCTATTAGTTGCTCATTTGTCAGCTTAGAGATATGTAGCATATCGCGTTTAGCACCTACCTTCCTCTGGAGCAACCTCCGTGGTGGCTATTACGCGCTGTTGGTTGCGGATTTTCAACTTTTTCTCATTGAGAAGCTGCATCAAGTTGTTCATTAGCTGTTCTTCGTGCCGATTCTTGGCGCCTATGAGCTCGTTAAGCTGGACATCGAGATCTTTGATGGTCTGTTCAGCAGCGCGGTAGCGATCCAGGAGGCTTGAACAACGTCTTTCGAGGAAATCAGCTCTCTCTGCCGAAGTAGAAGTCCAGTCATAGAGGTGGATGGTCTGTTCGTCGTTTTGCTTCAATACTAAAGTCCCGAATTTTTGCTTGGTAACGTCAGGGGGGCACTTGGTGGAGGCGGGATTAGACTTGAACATACAGTTATTGTTTGTACTCTCTTCCGTATCACGATTTTTATCTCTTTATCCTGGATTTCGGAGCCACTTATGATGGCTAACGCTTCTAGCCCTACAAATAAATCCTGCTCCTTCCCACACTGTTCTGCTTGTCCAAGCACATGGAGAATGATTCGAGTCCAGTCGTCTTCGGTACCTTGATAATTCTTTGAGCGATACGAGTTGAGGTGAGACTGCCGTACTATCAGCGAATAGCATTAGCATATGATGCGACTGATAGAAGAGGCAGGTTTCCCTTCACTTGGAGGATAGCACTCAACATACCTGCCCCAGTGAACGGACACTCTCCTTCTGTCCCAACAAGATCCAGATCTAGTGCGGAAGGACCACGACGGGTAACGTGCAGCAGTACGCACGCTTTGGGTTCATCGGATCTCGGAAAGCGCAGAATCCGCGGGGATAGGTCACTGTTATTGATAGACATATTGGTCTACAGATTTGATGTCCAGAGGGAAGATCATAAGACACAGCTTGCTGCTTGCCGGTGAAATATAGGATAAGATATCTTCAGTCCATTTGACGGGTCTTTGCTGGGCACCCTTTGATATGTCCCGTATTGAATCATGAGGAGCGATAGTTAGCTAAGTTCACTTACTAAGCATTATAGGCAACACTCTTGACTCCGTCAGAATAGACCCCCAGTGATTTGATGTATTTCACTTACTATGCCCGGGTGCCTTGAGAACGTAAATGTGGGCCAGTGGCAACTTTTTATGACCGCCTTCATTTACCTTTACCGCTTCCTCTATAGGCATGATCTGAAGCTCTTCCACGAATGCCAATCATGGGTTGTGATAAAACCGGCAGATCTCAAATTATCTAATCCAGTTCCACTTTTACGTTCTCAAGGCACCCTACCGAGTAGTCATGTTCCGTAACTAACTTAGTTAACTTAACTAACTAGGTAACTAACTATCTTAACTAGCTAGTTAAGTTAAACTTGGTTAGGTGTTATACCTTGTGGGATGTAGGCAATGAGGTCTTGTACGGTTTACAACCTTACCGCCTGCTCTCTTCGGCTGCTCTGCCGCCCTTCGCACAGACTCCCGCACCCCATCAAAACACTACAGACTGCGCGCTTATTATCTATACATACAGAGTACTCCGTATATGTTCTCGTACTAGCAACTCTACCACTGACGTACTCAGTAAGGTCATATACGATTGTCAGTGAAGCTTTAATTAGTACTTTCAGATCTGCCGGTTTCATCTCAAGCTGTAAGTATCATTTGCTAAAGAACCTCAGATCATTTCTGTATAGGAAGCGGTGCGAGCTGAGATAGAGGCGATAGATCGATGGCAGTGGCAAAAAACAACAATCGTAAAGAACCGAACCGAGTGTATTCAAGTCCCGGTAGTAGCCATCAAAAGATCTATTCATAGCGGTCGACTTCGTCCCTTAACATCCATCAACATCCATCAACAACAGGGGTGAGAAGACGTCCAAAAGTAACTTGTTTGCTTGATTGGCAAGTGACTCACTCTACGCACTCTGCGCTATTAAAACCATACCGAGCAATAGAGACTTAAATGGTCATAAACTTGATGGCTATCACCGCCCATTACGGGTGTCCGGCGGAAATTTTTACCAAACTAAATGCTAAGGAGATTAGCGATGCTCGTTAATATCTGATTTGTGATTGCCGCCTTGCCCCTATTTCACGTGGATAATGTTCAGCGCATAGTTCTCAGTGGGTGGGTGCATGGTTTCTAGCCTTCAAGTTCTTTATACCCTTACTTCAGATAAGGTGCTGCACATTACCCAAGCGGAATCCGTCCAGCCGCCGTCGCCTCCACCACCACCATTACCACCACCATTACCACCATTACCACCACCACTATCACGCGCCTACTACCTTGCACGGCTAGGAGTGCTACGTAAGGTTTCGTGGATCTCGTATACTGGACTCGTCCACAGAGTCCTATCTTTTCAATCTTGTGCAAACATGTCAACTTGACGGCTGCTAAGACTGCAAATCCTATATGTTCAATATCAGCTCCAAGCATATCTCACCGTTTTGATTATAACCCTCCTGTCCTCCATCTCATTTCCATGCCACTTCATCATTGACCTACACGAGCAATCACAGGCTGGGCTAAAGGGTATTTTGTTTCTGCTATTGACGCTGCGTATAGGAGCATCTGCCGATCGACTGGTCCTCTCCCGCGCGGGATGACTCGCTTCCTTCAATTTCGTGTCAGCGCTGGAGTGCCCTGAGCCTGTCATCAATCTTTAAAAACACCCTTGACATTGTGTTAATTTTCGCAGATGGTCTGTTACGCGGAACATGGCTGCTTTGACCCTCGAATTACGAAGTGGCGACGAGGAATCGATCGAGTGTTGGGATGACGATGAAGACCTGCAATGCTTTGAGGGATTCCAGCTGCGCGCGGCATCAAGTGCGACCTCTGTGACAAACTCATCGGCCCATCATTCAGTGCATCGGGACTCCATATCTTCTCGTCGCTCTGCACGCTCTGATTTGGAATCAAACGGCGGTGGCGATGAGGACTGGCAAGTCCAGTTGCTGGACAACGATGAGGTGATCACTGAAGAGGCTATTGCCTCTGCCAAAAATGCCGGAATACCTCTGCCTATAAATGTCCCTAAATCAGCCCTTGTTGGTGGTACCATCAAACGCCTTGGGCGGAGGAAAACAAACACAAACACGGTCGACGATTGGGCTGATGACGTGGATTTTCCTGGTCCCGACGGAATACTGCAGTTGAGAGGGCCTCTGGATACGTCTTTTCCTGAGGCGCTACGACAAGTCAGCTCCGCTGCAGTGAGTCCTATCAAAGCATCGGCGTCAGCTACATGGGATAATGACATCTCAACGCGATTACAACCGGCCTTGTCAATCCCGGCAATCCCCCGAATGGACGACGATACGGACGACGCTCATGATATCCCTACAATCAAAGTTGCGAGACCTCGTGCGCCGGGCAGGCCCTCGCTTTTCAATAATTTCATGCTTCATAAGGACTACTGTTCAGGGGACGATTTCGAGCAAGACTTTGAATTGCCAAACGGTGATCTACCGCTGCGACTTACTCCTCGAAAGGCCAGTGCAGGGCCTCTGAGCCCTTCTACAGAAGAAATCGAGTTAGATTGGTCCGAAGGCAGTATTGGGGTCCGGTTTGGTGGGATCACTAGCGAGCATCGATCGAACCCATCAATTATGTCTGTTGTGAGCCCGAGCGCTTCTAGCTGTCTCACGGCTGAAAGTGAAGACGACGGCCTCGATGGTCTCGTTATTCCCGAAGAGCCTTTAGACTTAGAATCTTATTTCAAAAAACGGGGAGGGCCTGTAGATCAGGACCTGGCTTGCGCAAAGCCTCCTTGTGTCAGTCAAGCTTCAAACAAGAGTGACGATTTTTTTTCCGGACTTGAGATTGAGGACGGACTATTTGATCCTCAAAGGCTTTCGATAAACCCCAATATCAAGTGCAAACCCGAAAACTCTCGGAGTCCTGTGCGACACTCCACAACGACTCTCACGTTCACTAACATGACAACATCTCCTAAATCTCGGATTCCGCGTCTATCCGGTCCCGATCGCCCACACTCGACACATTTAGAGACTGTCTCGGAGAGTGGTGCGCCTCTTTCACAGTTCAGAGAATTACAGACCCTAGTTGGGAACCATTCAGCACAATATTCTGTGTCCAGCCTCCCTTCTGTTCAGCAATCTTCGACGTCTCATCGACGGCACACAAGTCGAATGAACAAGGAACCTTTTGCAAGCGACGGTGTCCCTTTCGGCAGGTATCTGGCCTCGAAGCGTTCAATGCCAACAATGCGTGATGCACAGCACAGCGCCACGTCGCCCTTGGGTCAATGTCTTTCCACCTACTCGGATGTCTCAAGTTCAATGTCCAAATCTATGCACCGTCCTAAAACCCCAGTAGATCGCTTGGACGGCGTGAAACAGCTCATGCGAAAAGCACAAGTGCCATTCATCCCTGCTGGAGCGTCAGAAAAGCAGTCGCACCATGCAAGCCTTAAAATCCACCGTCAAAATCGTCGAAATAATCTTGACAGTTCGAACGATTCCTTCTTTACAAGCTACGCCGCTCGATCCTCGCGAAATCGTCACGACATGTTTAGTAGGAGTCATTCTGAATCTAGTCCAGAGGCCTTGACCACTGTTACTAAACGGACACTCACTCGGCCAACTCGACGGCGGAATTTTGGAGATGGATCGGAATTGGCTCTGTTCGATGATTTGCCTACATCTACCTCTGCGGAAAGTAGATTTGTGAAACATCCCTCCGGACGGGGTGTCCCACGATCATTCAGAAATAGGCTGGGTCGCAACCCGACTGTTTCTCCCAAAGCAGAAGCAACCTCCCGGTCAACTTTCAGTAACTTGGGCGCATCTCTCAACTTCGATAATACCCCCAGATTTGCACGAGACACTAATGCATCAAGAAATGCAAGGGAACAGCGCATAGCCTCTTTGTCATTTAATTCCAAACTTCGCGAGAGCCACCCACTTCCTCCTCTTGGCTCGAACGCAAGAACCTCCAATATCTCCCGGATGCCTTCCAGCTCGGTTGCCAGCAGAGGCAAAAAGGGTAAAGCTACTGCGCTGCATGTTTCTAGGCCCCATCTAATTAAGCCACTGGGCACCGGTGTACAGGAGGCCAAGTGTAAGTCAGGCTTTCCCGCGCGGCAAGTGAGAAAACCGTCGCTAATGATTTTACACTTCAGCGATTAATGGTATGCGATACAATCCGAAATCCTTCTCTTGGGAGGGGAATGAGAGCTCTGTTCGTGCCTTTGAGACAAGTGCACCAAAATCTCCAAAGCCAACACCCGCTCTCATCACAAATATCGGAGCCATGCAGAATGTGCAGGTTGTTGGCGGGATGGTATTTGACCCGCGACGTATGTGCTGGCTGAAACTGGCGCCGTCGCAGCCCGGGCAGGATGGGTTGGTAGCTGTTCAGGACGAAGATGATGTCTTTGCTGGTCTCGATGACTTGAAAGAAAGCTCTGGCATGGTAGGTGGGCGATCATCAACTAATCATGAAGACCTTTGCCTTGCAGCAAGCGGAGACGACCGAAGCTACGGCGACTCCTCAGACGAATGGCCCATGACGGAGGAATTTGATGTTGGGCCCGAGTTCATCAGGAGACAGCGCGCTGAGGAAGAGAAATGGAGGCGCAAGGTGGAAAAATGGACGAGTCTTGATTGTGCAAAGCTCGGAGATGGCTGGAGATGGGCTATCCGAGATCTGGTACGCTTTAACGGCACTGTCAATACCCCGGACGTTCACCATGTATGAGAGGCTATTTCCGCGGTTGCGGCCAAGGGTAGGCTGGTAGATCGAGGTACCACATCTGCAGCGGTGCGACTCAATTCTGCTGCCACGTGATCAAAATCTGTGTCCACAGCGTGCCCGTCGCATGAGGCCCTATAATGCCATATTCATGCTTATTTATACGACGTTATGAAGAAAATGTGTAGTTTTTTGTCCTTGATGGATTGACGAATACTGTACTTACATTCACCTAGCTAGGCAGACATACATCATTCATACAAAGTCTGATGAATCCGAGACATTCCGCACTCTTGAGGGTATGCGGAACTTTAGGTACTGGCTGGATAAAGCAAATCTTCATAATCTCAGTTGGTCATACAATGTTACGTCAGGTGGGATATATCAGCATGGGGCTTTCGGTGGTTAGGGAACACCGTACGTCATGTTGCGATGGTTGATCTATAAACATACGTTTTTGAGTGGCTTATCTGGATTCTACCCAAATCTTCAAAAGCGTAATGAAGACCTGGATCTTAACTCCGGGGGATTTGGGGGGGAGGGAGGCCGCAGCCCGGGGCCCCAGGGCTAGGTCATATTGCTTTCTAAGGAGTAGGTACGCCCCTGCAGCAACCTTTCTCAATGTCCTGTGAGCCAAAGCACCACTCCATAATCTTGTTCTACTTCAACTTCGTTCTTCAATCTCTCAATACGATGGTTATGGTCACTCCGTAAGCATTAGGCACGCCCGGGTGGCGTGCGGTCCCTAGTGCGGTGGATAATTGCTCCTGTTGATGAATGCCACTGCTATCCATGATTATGTACGCACTGTACACTCTAGGATGTTTGCCTATATGCGACAAAGCTCTGAACCGAGCAGCAGAGTTAACATGCCCTGTGCCAATTCTAGCTTGTATTCACAAGCCGGGCTGCCTGTCAGCCAACACAGGTAAGACGTAAGTCAACTAATGGCTCGACCGCCCTGTAAAATTACCGGCTCATCTCAGATGCTTAGAATGGGTTACTCAACACTGATAACTACAGTATACAGATCTACTCCTGTTGCTTGAGTAATCGTAGGTATTATACTTGTGCAGCGAGATATGACATGCTGTATATACTGTCTACGCTGTAGTTATACACTTTTCACCAAACACCTTATGCCTTCGCCCTGATTGCGGCCAACACTTTGGCTGCCTCTCCGATAGCTGCATGGGTTTGTTTGCCAGGTTCAAGAGGTATATAATCCACCATTGATCGCCCTGCCGTGCACTCCCTCGTATCAGCTGCCCTTCTCTGATCTTTCCACTGTGGAAAGGCGTGATAGCACATGAAATACAAACCAAGGTGTACTGTATATTACTATGCCTGCTTAAGTAGCCGTACACCCCGATCACGGATAGAATAAGGGTTTTTAGAGGTTGCTGTGGTCAACAGAGTACGGTGACGAATGCTGATCACATCACAGCCACGATTACTCATGGCATAGTGATAATGATAGCGTAGATCATTATAGGTGTTAGCAGTTATGCTGTAAACGCGCCTACAATTAGAGGGCATCGCTCGATTTGTTATCCACGATGGCCACGCCTCCCTCAGTCCTAAGGAGACAAACATAACTCTTCCCGGTAGCATGGAAGATGGACGACACTTGTGGCGTAGCGGCTCGATCTGAGGGCTATTGGCTACGAACTGCCAGCAAGCCCCAATAGCCCAGGGCTTTGCATGTACAACAAGTCAGCTCCTCATCATAACCTGAATCATACACTGTCTGATGCAGTACCCTGAATCCCAAATTAAGTAGCAAAATTCTGCCCCTGGGGCTAGGGACAACAGGTAGACGGTGGGAGACCCGATTAGTGAGGAAGGTCAGGGAGAAGAGCAGAAGAATTATGAGGGATAAGGCGGGAGAACAAAATAAGGCGGAACCCTGTTCATGGGTCCAGTCCTATAGTCACCCTGAGGTTCGATGCAGTAGCCCGGCTACCTGCATGAAAAGAATCGTCTCATCTCGCTCTCGGCCATCGCGGCTCGTGGCTCTTAAATGTGGCTATTTGGAAATCGACTAGTTCATCTGGGAGCTTCTGATGGCCTAAAATACCCAAAGCCGATTGCTTTTGTGCTGCCGTGAGCAAGAACTCCCATAGATTCCTACAATACATTTTCAAGTCGGTTGTAGCATACAGCTGAAGTACTACAGGAGCCTCCTGGTGGCAGGGGCTGGGACGTTGGCATTGGAGTTCGAAGAACACGTAACGCGAGAAGCTTTTGTCCAGCGTAACGCGACAAAGCCCTTTCGGGTGAATCAGGCACCACTTCCCAGTGGGGGACGTATGGCCTCTGTTACCTCTCGATCCAAGCTACCAACCGCCCGGCATGATCTCTGATCACTTCGGCATCATGTACTTGAGGCGCCAGGGATAGCGTAGGGAAGCAACCTGTAAAAATCGAGTTAACTATGGAGTACGATATATCCCGGAGCCTAGATGGAAACATTACGCATCCTATTTGCTCGGGCAGTACAAGGTTATCAACATGGTACTCTGCGTCTTAGGCCCGACGCTGAGCGTAGAAAGCGGAAATACAACTGACCCTGCAAGGAATAAAGCCTAGGATATTCGATACTCGACTACTTCGTACTCTCTTTTCATTCGGGGGTGATACCTTCTCGTACTTTGCTATTGGAGATAGAGTCACTAACTGTCAGATACACTCCCTCCTGCCTTGGTTAACCTCGGGCGTGATTTCAGACCTCGTACTGGCAAAGTAAGGGAGGAAGAAGGACTGACTAGGATGAGAGAATTCTCGCCCGACAGCTTGCAACATTTGGCATTGGATGAGAAAAGAAAAAAAAATAGGAAGGAAGAGAAAGAAAGCGAGTGACTATAGCAACAAACATCGATATCATGAATTGCAGCAGGTTGCGCAGTACGGTAGGCATCGCGTGCCGAGTACCGCGGTATGAACCCCTAAGTTAGGTCTCTTACACAGCTACTAGCTACCTGGCATTTCAACCCACTCACGATCTCAGGGCCGGTTACTCAAAGGTAGCAAGCAGTCATGGCTAGGCAAGTAGGTAGGTGTCTTTCTATCCTGATCCCCAACTTCTATACTCAACAACTTTCTGTGACCTCAATCCCCCCCTCCCCTGCTGGTTACCTATGCATTACCCTGGTTCTGCCCATGTCATGTCCATCTTAATCCTTCATGTAATTCGACTTCCATGCTTGAACCCTGTAAGTACCACAGATCTCTCTGACTATCAAGAGTCTTACTGCATGTCTTCGCCGCATTCGGTCCTTGAGCTAGGAGCTGATGCCCTACAGGTCGTCTTCTGATTTCCCGAATAGTCTCCCTGACTACTATTGCCTCCTGTTGTGCACTTCGTTCTTGTTCACTGGTTATGCTTCTCTGTCGGTAACGGTGTCCATGGCCGCCAGGAGCCTTTCATGCGATCAAGAATAAGCAAATGTCTCTCTCTCTCTAATGCCTAGGGTCATACCGGAGAGAGGGTGTACCTGCACATCCGGGTAGGTTGGTGGTGGTCTTGATTACACCCCTGCCTAATAATTCATCTTGTTTGGATACATATCGCACTTTCGAAGTTTGTAACCGAGTTGCACTGGGAAGCTATTGTATCGAAAATCACTTCAACAGCCCCCAATCGATTCCATGCTTTTCCTTCAAACTATTTAATGGCGCTGGGTTCCCATCCTGGATTGATGCTCAAGCTTTGTCCTTGGTTTCGTGCAAGCTAAAACAAGTCTCTTTGAGGAGTGCAGTACCAGTACTGGTATCGTGCCCCCAGCCTTTTTCAGTGCCTGTGTTCTGCGAAGAGCTTTCCTTGCCTCGTCGCTCCAACCCCCCCCCCCCCTTTGCCCATTTCTTGTAGGCCCACGCTCGTCAAGACAATTTCCCTTTGTTGGTGTCACCCAACTTGCTGTCTCGACTCGGACTAGCTTTCTTTGGAGCTCCAACTTGCTTGCGGCAAGCTTCAGACCAGCATGAACGGCTATACAAGACGCAATGAGAATCACGATGGTTACAATTTCACCCACCAAACGGCCCTACCTCTTCCGTACAGCCATAACGACAACAATGACTTCAGTGTAAATGAGCCAGGGGCATTCAGTTTCAGCCAACCACCTTTTCATCCTTTTACACCACAATTTACTTCACCATACAGTCATCCCAGCCTATCCACAAGCACGCATCATTTTTCCTCGAGCAACCATTCCCCAGCGCATTCCATTCCTTCAACGCCCGGCCATGTGCCCCTGCAGCAGCATCCTACGCAGTATCTCTCCCATTCGCGCTATATTCAGTCGCCCAGCTATTCTACCCTGCGCGAAGCGCTCGGTGATGCGGACATCGAGGCCCAGGAGTCCAGCAATGAGCACACTATGCTTTCAGAACCAGTTGTACCACCACTAGAAGGCTTTCCAAATGTGAGGGAGTTTGACCAATTAATGAAAAGGTGTGGTTTTCACTATTTTCCCGAGACGTCTAATACCATACATGATTATACTTATTAAGACGCTTACTAGTTACGTCGACGACTTATCTGTCAAGAAGCAAGATAAGGCATTGATCCATGCTAAAAGAGCGCGAAATATCAAGACCGTGCTGTTAGACCCTAAAGATACAGCTATAGAATCAGCTCAATTTCGGTATGACCAGATTCTACCCTCCCGTATAGATGAAGGTTACTGCAGCGCTGTACCCTCATCGTATGTCATATCGCCCATCTTAGCATCTGCTGATGTTATCCTTCATTAGATTTTGGGTAAAAAAAATGTTCAAGCTCCAAGCTGTTGGTCCTGGAGTATCAGATGTCAGTATTCATATTCAATTCACAGGTTTCCCAAATTGCTTACCCAGGCATGCCAGCACAGTATACAAGGTTGATTTGCCACGAAGAGAAACCAGTGGCCATTCGAGAGAAGCTCTTCAAGATTCTAACAAGAGCACATCAACAATGTCAACATGGAGGAAGGGACAAGACCTCAGCTCAAGTTCGACAGATCTATTCGTGGTGAGTAATATGTATCGTGCAATGTAGAGCCTGCAACGTCGTCCTTGCGTTCTCCACTCATGTGCATTGCTACCCACACTCTTTATGCATTAGTACGCAGTCTGACTTTTAGGAATCTACGTCATATTCTCGAAGGGTTCCGAAAGAACTCATCTCACGCTTTGTCAAGATATGTCCTACTTGCCAAGTGCGTCGCGGCGGCTCCCGATTGACGCCTCCTAGTTCAAGAAGGAGCTCTCCACGACTAGAGACAGTGTCGCGCTCGCCAGCACTCCCATCGCCACCAATTTCTAGGCGCGACTCCAACTTGAACGCTCAATTGTCGTTGGACAGATCCCAGGCTGATTTGTTTAGTCAATTCACTACTAGTCATGGCAATCATGGTCATTGGATAGACAACCAAAGAAACCTACAAGAGAGGCAGCCGCTGTCTTCCACTAATATACGCTCATACGGAGGTGGAGCGATGAGCCACCTTTCGGGATCTGTCCCGGGAGTTCTAGAGCCATTCCAAAGTGACTTGTCGGTCTCACCACCTCAAATAGGTTATGGCACAAGCTTTGCTCCAGCACATGGATCATCTGGTCAAAGAAGCTATTGAGATCCACTGGATCTCCAAGGAGATCTAGTTTACCTGGCATCTCGGCACAGCTAAAGATTAAAACACTGCCAAGGATTGGCACGCCGAGCGAAAATGCTCTAGTCTGTTTTCAAATATCTATGTCCAGTTTGTCCGATTTCTTGCTTTGAATTGAGTTTATGACATGAAGTATGTGTTGGATTATACTCGTTTGTGGATTGAGTAGAGGACCTTGTTGTAAAGATTTTCAGAACAGTGCCATCCTCTGAGAATAGAAGTCTAGAATTTTCCAACTACAGTACAGATTGACCAACAAGATTAGGCAATGACAAATACATATTCCGTGACGAATCGGGAGATCGACGATGCGGAAAAGCACAATCGAGAGGAAAGGGAAAGACAGCGTCAAACATTGCCCTGCTGATAGATGATGTGGTTCTTTGTAAGAGTAAAGTCAAATGAAACTCCGCAAATCGAGCAGCCCTATGTTGTTTGTGGGTCAAAGCATACCACGCTAGAACCTGGCCTAGACCGGGAGTGAGAACTTTTTACCCTTCATCACCCTAGCACAGTAGTCAGTACTCTTAAGCGCCAGCCCGAGAAGCTGGGGCACTCACTTGGTATAGTAAATATAGAAGAAATCAGAGTACAGTAGTGTTTGTACGATGCCAGCAACGACTGGAATGGTGTGAAAGTGACGTTCAGCATAATACCGGTAGATCCAATTGGGGATATAAAGAGCGCGGTAGAGGCCTAGCGCAAAAAGGTAGTGTGTCGTTATGGTATCTGCCTCTCCGGTGCGCTGGAGCATGAAAAGCTGCGGAAGAATGGCGACGGATTCCAACCATATGGAAAACGTCCAAAGGATCTGCACGAACTTCTGAGCGGACGATTCAGATACTAGGCTCGGAGACTGACCTCGGAGATAGTGTAGTCGTGGGGGAACAACAAAGCCAAAAGGGCACTGAAGCAGAGAAGATATTGCACCTTGAAGGTATCGAGGTTCGGATCATGCGTGGGCTTGTACTCGGTGAGCATAAGATAAATGATATAAGCTGAAGAGCCTATGAACAAGATTTTGAAAGTTGTATTGTAGAGGGAGTCGGTAAAGGCCCAGAACAAGTCTTCGGTCAAAGCACAAGATTAGAGCAGATTGTTTGCATGTTGGCAGCACGACTCACCAAGATATCGCGTGATGAAAACCATTAGGTATAGAACCTGAGATTTGAATGATAGCCCCGAGCAGCTCTATTATCGCGATCAATTACCCGGTTGGGGGACCATGCATGCTGCTGACTTACACTCGATGACTTCATCTTCTGCAGAAGAATGAAAATAGATGCGAGATGAGAGAAATCGGCTAGGTCAAACAGGTTTAAAATTGGAGTATGCTCCTGGAGGGCGCGGTTGATACTTACCTGACAACCTGAAGATGTTCATGGTGAAAGATAGGTATGGAGTTCAATCCAGCCAAACGAAGGATTAGTTAGAGCAGATTTATCTGAGGAAGACACAGGTTTAAAATTGCCAGGTAACCATGAAGTGTGGACAGAAAGCTTGGGCAAAATGACTTGAGAATCTCTGTCTCACTTCGCATGGCGGTTGACTTAATGTTGACACGAAAGCAGCAAGCTCCGCGCGACATGGAAGGGAGGAAGGTGCGCCCCACACTTCCTGATACAGATGGTCGCAGATAACAGGTGGTTGTTATTTTACTAGCACGACCCAAAATAGCTTAATAAGTACTTAAAAGTTATATAACTATTATGCTATATATAACAATAACTTTCATATTATATCATCTCTTTTATACATATATATATTATTAATTATTATTTACTATCTACCATCTATTATTACTACTACCTATTATTACATTCAACTCCTCAATGTAAGTATTACCTTTCCTTACCGCCTTCAGAACGGCGATATCATATATACAATTAAGTTAGCAAAGTAGAAATAATTAATAATCTAGCTTTATAAAATTTTAGTTTTTTTAAGATCTTAATAGCTAGTATTAATAGTATATTCTGCTGCTATCATTCTCGGTCTATCTAAGAATTATTTATTTAATTAAACCACTAAAAAATACTTTAAGTTAATTAATTTATTTAGATGAGTATTTTGTTGATAAAATACTTATAGTATTATCTTATATACCATACAAAAATACAGTTTTTTGAAATTTTATCTTTAAAATTAATAATTCAGCTAATTCTTAATATTTTTTAAAAAGATTTTATTACTGTTTGTTTATACAAAGATAAAAAGAATCAGTTAGATATAAAATAATAGCAGTCTTTTATTTCAAAGCTAGTTCTTATTATTCTCTGGATATAACAAGATTCTAAAAATTTTAAGTATTAGAATAACTAGAAGTTGTTAATATTACAACTTTCTTAGTAGAAATATATAAATACTTTATTAAAAATATTATAGAATTTTAAAAATATTTATAATAATTAGATTTTTTTTATATACAGCTGTTTTTAGCAGTAACTAATAATCGATTTTAATATTCTAATAAAGATTAATATTAAAATTAGTAATACTAATATATATAATTTTAATTTTTTAAATATAGTTCTTTAATCTAATTTAATAATTATTAAAATAGATATTATATATTTTCTAATAGATATTTATTTTTTTATAACTACTATTTCTATTTATATAAACAATTTTAGTAGTTATTATTTTAATAGTATTAGTAAATAGACATTTTATAAAAACTAGTTTTAATAAAATTAATAATTTTAATGTAATATTATTCTATTTTAGAAATATAATATTTTATTAAATATAAAATATTAATATTATAGTTATATTTTTGTTGGTACGCTGGGCTGGAAGTCCTTAAGATCTAAAAATATTAAGATAATATAACAGTATAAAGTTGTTATTCCTTCTATATATAAAGTATAGAATATTAAGTATAAATACAGAAAAAGATAGAAGAAATAAATAAAAAAGAGCAAATATAAGAAAGAAGTAAGACAAAAAATAAGATATTAAAATAGTTAATAAATAGTTTTCTTATTCTAGTAATAGTTTTATTATTTTATATTAAAAAAGACTTTATTATCTGAATTATTTTATATCTTTATCAGAATAATATAAGATGTTATTATTATTATTTTGATTAAAAAAAGCTTTGCTGTCTAAATCTTTATTTTTATTTATTATCTTAAATTTCTCTGCTTTCTTGTCTGTAATATTTTTAATAATATTTTTAAAAAAGGTAATAAGTAAAATAAACTCTTAAAATATTATCTAATAGTTTATAACTATTCTATTTACTTAGTCTAGTATTATAACTACTATAGTTAGATTTAGAATAAAAAAATTAGTTATTTATAAAAATAATATCTTACTGTTTCTTATTTTTCTAATTTATATTAAAAGTTTAGTTACTTATTTCTATATTAGACTGTTCTTAATTGATATAATAATAAAAATAATTTTAATTTCAACTGTTTTATAGTTTATATATTAATATAATATATTTTTTATTATAGATTTTTTAAGCTTTAAAATCTGTTAATTTTATTTTAAATATTATTATTTGGATTCTAATATTTAATACTTTCTTAAAGTATAATTTTATTGGTTTTTTACTATAAAAATGTTATATATTTATTAAAATTGAAAAAAAGTATTAGTATTTTTTTATTTTTATAATATAAAATATAATAAATTTTATAATCTATATATCTGTTTAAGATCTGTTTCCTAGTTTAAATAATCTAAATTTAATATCTGTTTTAGAAAATATATTAAGTATTTTATTTAAAGTCTGTTCTCTGGCTTAGATAATCTAAATTTAATATTTATTTTACAAAATATATTATTTAGGCTAAGATTATTATAGCTGCATATGAATATCTAAAGTTTTTACATAATAATATTAAAAAACTATTAGACTTTAGCTTTAATTATTTTTTTATTTAATTAAATAGTTAATCTGTTTAGTTATACAAATATTTATAGTTTTTACTAGTATTTTAAACTTATTTATATTAATCTTTATCTAAAGTTTAGATTTATTTATATTAATATTTTTATTATTAAAGTTTATATCTAATTAGATATTATATAATTAATTATTTTTATTTTTATATAGATTATTATTCAGTATACCAACCAACAGCTTAAAAAGATTGAATTAAAAAAATTAAAAGAATTATTTTTTTATTATTCTTATTATAAGTATAAATTATAATTAAATTATTATAATAAAAATATTAAATATTTATTTTATTTGAATTTATCAAATTTATTTTTTTTAATTATTTTAGTTAATAGTATTATAGTTTATTGAAATAATATATATTTATATTTTATTTTAAATATTCCAAATATTCTTAAGTCTTATAATATCATATTTAATCTATATATTATTTTTAAAAAAATTATTAGTTTTTATATTTTATTATTCTACTAGAAGTTATAACTACTAAAAGTAGTTAGTTTTAATATAAAAAATATATTTTTCATATACTGTTAGACACTATTAAAATCTATAAATATAGATTATTATAGTTTTATTTATTAATATTTTTTCTATTTAAAATAGGTTTTTACAAATAAAATCTATATTATATTTAGTATAAGGGCAATCCTATATACTTCGCCTATCTTATAAACCTAACCGGCCTTACTAATCTTATTTAATATCTTTATTATATTTATTTTATTTATTTTTTAGCTGTTTTATAACAGATAAACTGCGGGTATATATTTTTTTATCTTTATTTTTATTTTTTTATATTTGAAAAAAGTTTTTATACAAGTTAATAGTAATAATAGTGGGTTTTAAAAAATCCAAATCTAAAAAATATAAAATTCTAAAATTATATATTTTAATTAAATTTTTATTACTATAGCTGTAGGCTGTATAATAATTAAAAAATAAAAAATTTAAAATAAATTTCTGAATATAATTAAATTATTATTAAAAACTAATAAAATTTATTATTATACTTGTTAGCTATAAAAAATTAATAAAAAATACTTGG